TGACAGTGGGATCGCGGTCTACCACGTTCAACAGGCTCTGCCTTGGACCAAAGACGAGACTTACGTGTCAGAACAAGAAAGAACCAGAAACAAGCATCAAAAAACAAACTGATAGTGCACGCTAGTCTAGTCTAAGTCCACCCTCCAATAACCTGGAAAGATATTGCAGTTAAGTATTTCACAGGATGCAATAGTCTCGTTTACATATGTATATATATATATATGCGTTATATCTTACCGATCAAATATTCTTAGCAATGCATGGTACTATACAATACTATACACTCATGTATCATGATAGAAACAGATTATACTCACACAAGAAGACATGATTGTTTATAGTTGCAGTATGAAGCATGAGAAAATTAACTATGGGCTGACCCTACTTTTGAAAAAACACAAACCAACACATAATGCAAGATCACGTAACCTGTTGCAGTGTAAAAGCATAGTATAGTATCATGCAACACAACATAACATAACATAACATAGGACAATATGTGCGCACATACAGATATACATATATGACGATATACTGGAATATGTAAGCTTGTAATATAAAACGTACTATAGTAAATATGCATAATTTTGACAATAATATAGTATGATGTGATATAACATGATATCATGCAACGAAAATGACACATAAGAAAGGAACAGAACGGACCAGAAAGAACAGGATAGAGCAAGATGTAACATAACAGAATAAAACACACCAGAACCGAATACAACAGAACAGAACAGAGCAGAATAGGACAGAATAGGACAGAATAGAATCGAGTAGAATAGAGTGGAATAGAGTAGAATAGAGTACATTAAAATAGAACAGAACACAATATAACAGAACAGAATAGAACAGAAAAGGATAGACTAGTGTAGGATAGAGTCAAATAAAGTAGAATAGAGTATATACAATAGAGCAGAATAGAGTAGAATAGAGTCGAATCGAGTAGAATAGAGTAAACAGAAAAGAGCAGAACAGAAGAGAGTAGAATATTGTAGAAGAGGGTAAAAGAGAGTAGAACAGAGCAGAAGAGAGCAGAAGAGAGGAGAAGAGCAGAGGAGAGGAGAGGAGAGGAGAGGCGAGGATAGGATTGGGTAGAATCGGATAGAATAGGATAGGACTGGACCGGCCTAGAATAGAAGAGAACTGAATAGAATAGAACAGAAAAGATTTTCTTATTAAGAGATTTACCACATGTGTTGTTCCATCGTGGTCCCGTTTAAATATACTACAAAGTACCCCAAACCCTATTTCGACCACGAAGGCCCTCATATGCCACAGAACCCTTATAGTCCTTAAAGCCTAAACCATGAACCACAGGCCGAGGACCCGCAAGCCGACAAATCCATCTCAGCTGTGGCTTACTGTGAAATGTGTTCGTTTATGTGCCGAACTGCGAAAGGAAGAAAGCAAGAACGCCCTCCTTGAGGGGTTGGGGGGCTAAGCCCTAAACCCCTCGAGACAGTTGGGGTGGTTGGGGCGGGACGACATGCTGACGCAAGCGCCCCCATTTCTAAAGAAGCGCACCCACTGTGCTCACACTGTATGCACACTCTAAACCCTAAACCCTGAACCTGAAACCCTAAACCATGAACCTAAAACCCTAAAACATGAACCTTAAACCCTAAACCTTGAACCTTAAATCCTAAACCATGAACCTTAAACCTTCAACCATGAACCTTAACCCCTAAACCATGAACCTTAACCCCTAAACCATGAACCTTAAACCCTTTTCCATAAACCTTAAACCCTAAACCATAAACCCTATATCCTAAACCTGAAACCATATATCCTAAACCTGAAACCTTATATCCTAAACCTGAAACCCACATAGACCAGGAAACCCATTCTGCATGGAAAAGCTCCTTCCTGAGCTGAGCCAAGGCACTGGGTGGGTAGTGCCTCGTTAGCATTGCCTGGGTAGTAATAGGGTTTAGGACTGAGGGTTTAGGATTCAGGGTTGTGGGTTGAGGGTTTAAGAGTTTAGGGTTTATAGTAGAGTATAGTCAAGCATAGGATAGTATAGTGTAGTATAGTACATAATATAGTGTAGTGTAGTATAGTCTAGTCTAGTATAGTATGGCATACTTCTACCGACAGGGTCCCATATCACGTTTAACTTAACTTGCGCTCGAAACAAAAGGTTCGCGCGGCAACAGCACCCCTGAAGCAGTAAGACGGCCTCGAGAACACGAAAGGCAAACCTTCCCTGGTAATGCAGATGTTCCTCATAGCTTCCTGCTTCTTTGTTTCAGGACTTCATTCTTGTGCAGCCCAAAACCTGTGCATCTTGCCCAGGGCCTGCACATGTGCGAATTTATCCCAAGAAAACGTTTTTTAGACATATTAGATGCCTCACCAAGACAAAGGTGACAAAGCAAGAACTCCGAAGCCGAAACAATGAGTACTTAGACCAATGAACTTCTCGAACAATGCTCAGCCTGGGCAGCCACCGAATCATAAGATGACACTAGAGTTAAGAAGAGGCACCAACAT